TTTTTTTTTTTTTTTTTTTTTGCGTTAAATTTAGCTTAGAAAAATAATTGGGCATTATCTTATTACACAGTAGCAGTGCTGTGGAAATTTGATGGACGAGGGAATTTTGTGGTATTTTCTATTGAATTACTCAGTATTTGTCATGTGGTATGCAGAATGATTCTGCGGATGTTGAAGGCTTTAAAGTGCGGTTCAATTTTTGTTTCATTTTAATGCTGTTCGCTGATTTCACAGTTTTTCTTTTTTGTTACTTCAGAAGCTTAAATAATTTGATTTTTTTCTATTTCGTCTGCTGCGTAACTTCTTATCATTATCGAAGGAAAATTTTGCAATTTTGATAGGCATCTTTTTCCAGATTATAATCATCTGTTGTCAGATTCTTTTTTACTTATTGTTCTTTATTTTTTCTGTTTCAGAGAAAAACCCATTTTTTCAAGTACAGTCTGAAGAGTTTTCCTTTACTTATAGAGAGGATGTTTTTTTTTTTTTTTTTTTTGCCCGTATTTGTACCTCAAATTGTTATTACCATCATAACAGTCAGGTTAAAATTGCATACACCATTGATAATGTTATGCGGGAGATATAGTAGTGTTGAAAAAAGTCGAGAAAAAAAAGGAAAAAAACAACGAAAAAAACGGTAATGGAGCGAAAATATCTTGAAACTTTGATAAGACAGCTAAGTGAAGGGCGAGGATTACTGTAATGCCAAAATACGCATTAGTTACAGCGTTATTCCACTCTGAAAGGTACTTCTGTTTAGTAGTGTTTTGCTCTTGCTGTCTCTGTGTGCTTTTTTTTTTTTTTTGCTAGAAATTGAGTTGAATTGAAAATGCAACGTAAAAGGGATTGATGGCTTAAAATTTTCAAGTTTAAGGTCTTTGTTAGGTGCTGCAACTAAGTACGTGGGGGATGTTATACAATTTGAGGTATTCTAGGGAGGAAAAGGCAGTTGTAGAGAAAAAGAAGTGGAAAAAAGCAAAGAAAAGAACTTAGCATTGTTTTAATATTGAGTTTAATACTTTCAATTTTTTTGTATAGCATCTAATCTGCAAAAACGTTTGGGTGATGTAGCTGATTTTTTGTTTTTGTGTGTGTGCCTTGTCGATAATGAATAAATTCGCTTGCATTCTACAAATTTACGTAGGTTTCGTGCTAGTTGATTTTTTTTTGCTTTGCTTTTTATATATGTGTATATGTATATATAAAATATCTGAATACATATTTTCTAATTACCGTAGTAAAAGAAATGAAGAAAAAAAGAGAGAAAAATATACAAAAAGAACGGTTTTTTTGATGAATTTTATTACAATTGTAAGTTTCTTTGTCAATTCTCATGTGTGGAGATCTCGGCTTACGGGATAAATGGTTATATTGTCACGTCAAACCTCCTCTCCATCCTGTGTTTCTTTTTTTTCCTTTTCCCAGCGTTGACTCTTCAGAAGTCAATCAATTCTTTTCTTTCTTCTCCTCCTCTTCCTCCTTCATCATCTTTTTTTCTGCTCTTCCTGTTGTTCCATCTACTTCTTGTCTTCTTATCGTTTCTGGTTTCTCTTCAAAATATGAAAAATAATTTTTTTGTTGTTTGGTATGTGTGTTGAGTCTGTTTTTTCATGTGATTTGCTGGCACAGTAAAAAGGTGAAAAAACGAAAGAAAAGAATTTTTTTCCTGAGTATGATTTAAAATTTGTTTTGAACAAATTAAATGATTTTTCTTTTGTTCATTGCTTTATTGTTTCTTTGAGAAGTTCCATCTACGATTCTTGTTCTTTTTTTCGAAGTTTTACCTTTTTTCGTTTAGGGTGACTGGGGAGGGGGGTTTGTTATTTAGCAACAATTTTCATGCTGTTATTTTGCTGCAGAAAAAAAAAGAGGGGAAGGTTTCTCCCCAGTGATTAAAGCGAGTTTTTAAAATGAAATGGTAGGAAGAAAAGGAAAATTCTGTTGAGTTTAGAAGTTTTTCTGGTTTCAAAACTTTAGTTAAGGGAGAACAGAGGTTTTAGCCTGATTATTCAGTTGAATAACTTGTTAAATGCATTTTGATACTGGGTAGGGGGACTTTAATTGGTGCAAATATTATTCAGAATGATTATAAATATATGTATACATATACATAAGTCTTTATATATATTTTTAAAAAAGCACTACAGTCTTTCGAAGTTTTTTCGCATTGATTATAATACAGTTTGTTAGAAAATGAAGAAAAACAAGGGAAAAAACGAAAAATGATTAGATTGGGGCCTTGTAATGTGCTATATCTTTCTAATTTAATTTTTTTTTTTGTATCTGCTTTTGTTTTTGTTCTTTTTTTATTCATTTGTGTCAAACTACTGCTTTTTTTGCAGTTAAATTGTTTTATTAAAATCATTTGAATTTTGTTCCAACACCGTTTTTGCTTTCTGTTGTGAAACTATTCAGTGAACTGTTTATTATATTTGTTGGGAGGGGAAATTGGAACAGTTTGCTGGGCGAACGCTTTTTTTCATTGTTTACCGCTTGAAGGAAGGGGAGGAAAGGGGCTCAAAGTCATTAGT